ACACACACACACACACACACACACACACACACACACACACACACACATATACACACTTTCAAGAGCAAATCTCCCTTTGCAGCCAGAAGTGCTGAGTGCTGCTGTTTGCTTTGTACACAGAAATTCGCTGAGGCTGTAAGCTGTCCCCAAACATCTGCTCCCTGGAGTGGAGCAGGAGAGCGGCAAGGACTGGATTGGTGTGCATGTTGTTCAGTGTAGCTCTGTCAGAATGTGTTATGAATGGATTTGTATGTGCGGGTGTGTGCATGCATGCGCATGTGAGTGAACAATTATTCAAATAGGTGCTTTGTATCTTTTTGAGCGCTTTATTAGTAGCACCTTGGAAACAAAACACATATTTGTGTAATTGTACACAGGACATCCAAATATGCATAGGCACACACACACACACACACACACTCACACACACAAACAGGTGCACTTCATTTAAACTTTCTTGATGCACAAATTGTTTGCCAGTCAAATATATGAATGAGCCCGATCAAAAAGACTGATTGAGCATGAAAGTCTTTGCAAATAAAGGAAAACATTAAAATCAGACGATCAGACAAACTAAAAGGGAGGAGGGCATTCAAATGATCTGTAATTACAACAACAACTGAGCTATTTGTAAGTGCTTCACTTAGAGTTAGAAAGAGCTTCACTTGAACAATTGATTTTATTCCCCTGAGCACCGGTGAGGATATTACATGCATATTATGCATTAAGTTAATTTTAGGTCAACTCAGCATTAATTACAATGAGCTCAGAAGAACCTACTTACATGTGTTCATTTAAAACGTAGTGTAAGATATGCTGTAAGCTGCATATGTTCTCTCATTGCTCATGCCAAGCAGGGCTCCTCAGGAGAATTTTAACAGTTCCGAACATCAGCTAACTTCCGAGAGAAGACAGTACAGAAGACGGTCAATAGCCTCATTCCTGATGAATTAATACATGTTTTAGTTTAATATCTCAGTGTTGTATCTAAATAAAAATGTAACAGGTAACTTAACTTTGACAAATCATGTTTGATCTATTGTACTTTATTATAAATATGTTTCTTGTTGATCGAAATGAATGAGTTAAATAAAGTAGATTTTGGAACAAATTTCAATACAATAAATTATTGCTGTACAGGAGAGGAAAAGAAAAATAAAGGTGAAGAAAATTCCAACTTGTTCAATGTCACCACTGTTACTACCTGCGGCAGTAATACATTTTCAGCTGAGTTATTTTGGTTTTATTTCCCTTCCATTTACCATGTGTTTGCTCATGTATAAGCACAGCACAGCTGTCAGTCTCGTGAACCAACCGTACATCTTCAGGAAGGAATTACAGAAGAGCACAAATTTATCAGAGTAGAGTCACACTCAAATGCTTTTGAACTAAATGTCAGGTCTGAACAAACAATGCAGTTTGCCTTTCATCAATTGAGAGGCAAATGTTGAAGCTGCCACAGAATGAAATTAAAGTGATAGTTCAACCAAAATAAATCAACTCTTCTTTTCACCTTCACATCATACCTATAACTCACATTAAGTTTTTTTCCTCCACACATTTTCTCTGCTATTTTAAATTGGTGTGCATTTCTAAGTGGATCTATTATACAGTAGAAAACTCTGATGAAGTAAGTTTGGATTTTAAAAAGTCTGACTGCACACCTGCTGCAAACATCCTCTGTGCACATCAAAACCTGTAACTTAATGCCCTGTGGCAAGGGAACATATTCGCACAAGGTGATGAAAGAGTTTCTGATGAGGTCATGCACATGAGGGACCATTTTTATATTCACAAGCTTTATCATCACATTGTTTCATCATCATTGTCCTCATCCTCATAACCTTCACAAGTGCACACTTATTTGCATTAAAAGAAGACAGACGCATTAGATTGTTTTGTTAAGCCTTCCACTTTGTGCTATTTTGTTTAGAGAAAGGCAACCTTAATGGCATGTATTTTGTTTAAATGCAAATGTAAAATAAATTGGGCTGAACACATTTTAAGTCTAGCTTGCATGAAAAATAATTTGTAATTACAAACAAAACTTTAAAATGTGTGCACTGTCAAAAGTTCCTCTGCAGACCTTTACGTTTGAACTTCTATTCCTTTCTAGCTTTCAGTTAAAATGAATGAGATGAACATTATAAAGGATATTGGTTAAGGGGATTAATGTCTATATTCTTCCAAAATTATTCAAGGCAGCATGAAATATAAAAGCAGCAAGGGTGTTATGAATAGTTGGCTCTAAATGTTGTTTATCCGGGCTCTGACATAGAATCCTATTAAGTGTTCAGTATGCTCAAGTAACTTTAATTTTTCAACTTTGCAATTAAAAATAGATCTGTGGTTTATATCCAAAAACCTATTGGGTGAAAATACTATGTTATCCAGTTTATAAAGTGAGCCAGGAACATACTTTTGGGCTTATTAAAATAAGAGATAGGGCAAAAATTAGGTTAGCTCTCTGTGTAGAAAAAATGCATTATGTGGCTTGGAATTATAATATGAACAATTATCATATGGCCTAGTCGCCCCTCTATTCAGCTGGATGAAATATGATTGTGTGGACATAGAGACCCACCACCAGAACAAAAGCGTTCAGAGTTGTTGAAAAAAAGAGAAAACGAAAGAAAGAACGAGAGAAAGAAAGAGAGAGGGAAAGCTCAGACTTAGAGGTCATCCAAATTAATGGTGCATCTTTCTCTCGCTGAGCCGCTGACCGGGTCATCGCTGTCCCGAGGCAAGACAAAGGTCAAGAGGTGAGAGGTGAACGCCGGTGTAACTGCATATATTAGAGTGAAGGTGCCGTCTAATAATTATATTATTATTTTACTTACACAAATCCCAAAGAGGACACCTGTCAAATGTTTAAAACGGACCCAATGCATTCATTTTGATTATCGCTTTGTATTTCTAAGCGGCACCCAGCTGCTTTAGGTTTATTTTCTTTGTTGTTGTCATTAACATCCGCTTTGGATCTACTTACCTTCGCATCAAGTGCAAACACCGCTAATTGAAAGCTAAACACAAATATTCCCTTACATGGAATTAGTGTGGCTGATGGCCTCATATCTTGATATTAGAATAAACATTAACATGAAAGAAACCCATTGCGATACCGGGAACATAACAGTGTTTGTGGGCTGAGTTTACAATCATTTACTTTATATGAGATGAGATGTGAATCTAGAAGGAATATTTAGCAGCTGCTGCTGGGGCCACACAATTTATTGGTTGATCTGCAAACCAGCACAGACAGCGTTTTATTGTCTGCTCTCCCGCATGAGTGTTCAAGCTAAATTATCATTTTCTGATGCATGTATCGGTAATAAAAGACGCAACAACTCCCGACCGTGATTTTTCTACATTCCATTAACATGCAGTTACAGATGCATGCAAATGATCCCAGATTTGTGCCTCAAATAGATGGATCACCACGGATCAATACTCTTAATAAGAACGATCAATAAATCTATCAGTCAATTATGGCATTTTAATCTTTCCGTGAAAAAAAACCTTAAAACCGGACAAATACACAACATTAAACAGCATCAACGCTCTGTTAAATTAGCCTGATAATTATCTGCTACCATGTTTACGATGTTATTTGTTTACAACAGGTGCATCTGACTTTTTCCTCAAATATTCAGAAACAAACAGCTTTTTAAAGAAATTAAAAAATGAAATCTAATAATGCTGCAACTTGAATTGATTGAGTAAGCAAGTAAATCAATCCTGGTAAAAATGTATTTCCAATATAATAAATATGATCAAATGTACATTAAATAAATAAAAATAATTATTATTTTAAACAAATTTAGGAGACACGTGTCCTGTTGAATAAATATTCAAGTAAAGTCAGCTCCTGGTTAAATTGTGAAGAATAAATAAACAAATAGTCTGCCACAGTTTCTACGGACAATTAATATCATTTTGTTTCCTTGTTTTCATAGGAGCGCTGTGCAATGACTTGAATTTTAATATTCAAATCAGCACCAGTCTGAAGCCGAGGGAGGATGACAAATTGTTTTCATCCGTTCTTGCATGACGAAACTTGCCAATGCGCTTCTTGCGATAAGAATCCATCGTGGTAAGCAAATACAGGTGAAGCCTGATTGAAACCGATGCAAAAGGGAATCAAAACATCTGCAGGCAGGCGCCCTTGCATGAGTGAAAGCAGCTCCTGTGGTTCAGGAGTTCAGGGGCAGGTGTTTTGACGAGGACGGTCCAGGAGAGGGGCGGGTGTCCAAAGTGTCAGCGTGAGAGTGCGGTGCCGCCGGCCCCGGGTCTGAGAGCAGCCCGTCTCTCTGTAATTTCTTCTGCTTCATGCGTCTGTTCTGAAACCAAACTTTCACCTGCGTCTCGCTGAGCTGCAGGGCGCTGGCGACATCCACCCGCCTGGCCCGCGTCAGGTACTTGTTGAAGTGGAACTCCTTCTCCAGCTCAGTCAGCTGCTTGGTGCTGAAGCTGGTCCTCGAGGCCCCGTTCACCGTGGGATGGTCACCCGTGCAGATGCTGCTGCTTCCAGCCTCGACAGCACCGAGGCCCGAGCCAACAACACTGAACCCACAGGTCATGTGCATCCTGCCTGGGAACAGAGGACATGAAAACAGTCGTCAGCTAGATCAATGAGGTTACAAAACCCTTCTCAACAAAAGCATCCACGTCCTTGTCCAGGAAATAAGATTAGATATTATTCCAGAGTTGAAACAGCAACAATTCTTGTATAATAAACTTCAGTCAAGGTTACATGTTTTAACTTTTGTATAAATCATCAGAAAATAAATACAATATTAATTACAGCTGTATCTATACTGGCCTGGTAATTTCTGTGATAATGAGGAATAAAACAAAGAATTAATACAAATCACAGTTTGTTTTTGACACTAAAGAAATGAGTTAAAAACATATTGAAACATTCAAAATATTACCTACAAGAAACTGATTTGTAGGAACTGGCCCTGTGCCAAATAGTTGGTTTAAAGTCTTCACCCGGGAGCAATTCTTCTGTCTGTATAACAGACGTATTTCACTGAGGTATCAACTTTAGCAGTAGCCTATAGGCACGTTGTAAAATCGTTTGCAACTGTCAAACATATGGATGGGAAATTATGTTGTATCTAATTGAACCTAACAGAAACACCTGAAAAGTACAATGCGATCTCATGCAACAACATTACAAACTATAGCCTGAAAAATGATTTCGACAAGATTTGAACGTTTCACGTTCATTTTGTAAAAGTCTTGCCTTTGAAGTCCAAGACAAGTTCACCAAATAGTAAAGCTAAATTTGTCGATGTGTATTGCAGATGTATGGAAAAGTTGTCAAAGAAATGTTTGGCGATTCAAAACAACTTTGTATCGTTTACAGTCCATTAACTGTATTCATCAGAATCGTTAATAATTTGCCTTTAGGCCTTTCTGTGTCAATGACAGTTTAACAGTTTACAAATCCTTTCGAACACTGCATTAATGACAAATGCCTCCATTTTTTCCTCTGAGGTTTCTGGGTCACACATTAAAGTATCATCTATGCTACTTATGTGCAATGAATGACAGGAACTGCAGCTATATCTTGATTTTTCATTGCTGACATTGTGGGTAAGTCGTCAGTGTATCTTTGCCTCTGAGAAAATGTGCTGCTGCTGCATAATGGAGTCAGTGTGCCAGGTGTAGAGCAATGCCTCCCACCACAATTCATGGAGAGGAAGGTTAACAGGCCTCTAGCCACTTGGAAAAGCATAGCAGATGGAAAGGTCAGTTATAGGATAAATGTCGACATCTATGTTTTAAGAAAATGAATGTCAAGGTAACCGAGCCTGAGAATTAGAGGGCAGTGAATATGAAGAACCAATACAGAGGAAGTACGTAATTAAGAACTTCAGCTTTCAGGAGTGCAAATCACATGCACATTCTGATTAATGGCACCAAAGATAATAGAATTGATGCCGGCCAGAAGGCATAAAAGAATCAAACTAAATATTTGAGAAATGACTTGCATGCTTAAAAATAGCCAGGCAGCAAAGGGAATGGAAGGGCCTTCCAAGCCAAGGAGAGGGAAGAAGAAAAGAGATAGATCGATACACATTGCCTCAGTCATCTGGGCATCCAGCCCACAGTAATTCAGGTGCTGTCAAAGCATAATTGAAGAATGACGCACTGGGAGTATATACACTGAGCCAAGAGATCAGGTTACTGCAGGTCTGTGGAGGCCTTTCAACATGGACGAATATACGCAAGACTTTGTTTCGTGCCAAAGCCAATACAACCTCCAGAGGAAAGCATACTTTCACTAATGACTCTTTTACAAGTTACACTATAGCGCTAATGAGTTACTCCTACAGAGGATCCCCTTCAGAGAGATGCAGAAGGAGGTTACAAAGATGCAAACCATACTGCGAGGAGATGTGTGTGCGTGGGTGGGTGTGAGCAAATTACTTTCTCAACTACACGGATTTGGTTCATGAGTGGCTAATGTGTTTTATGAATAAAACGACTCCTCGACCAGTGAAAGGTGTTGTTGTCACCTTTTGCCTCCCTCATGGTGCACCATCAGAGAGATCTTTCCCCACTCATCTAGATACTGAAGTAGGAATTAAAAAGCTAGAAATTGTAGTTTTGTGTTTGTTGCATGTTAAAACATTGCAATATTGATGACAAATCAAAAGTTGTTCATGTCACCTTTTCTTCTCATAGTAGCAACATTAGTACAATGTTTACATTGTCCACTAATCTGAATTTCTTTTTTTTGTCAGTTTATCCTTTCTGCAGGATAATCAAATGTAGTATTGTCATCCATGGCCTCTGTGATCGAGCCTTAATCCAAAGTGATATGAATGCACATCATGAATGAACATGAGCGAGGTAATCAAAAGCTAAAAATGTTAATAGCTTAGTGCAGTCAAATCAAAGGTGTTGATGTTACATCTTGTGCGGAATCATCAGAAATAATGTCTCCACATCATGTTATGAACGTGAATGCTGCTGCAGCGTTTGGTTTGTCATCCTTGCAGAGGAGCTCAGGCCTTTTCACCTCAAACAGTCTGCCTCTTTGGTCACTGAACATTTGGGTCAGCAGCACGCTTACAGCAGACATTGTGCTTTGGGGGGAAAAAAGGTTGGACCACCATTGTAGTCAATCTTCGTCCATGTAAAATGTATGACACCCAATCCAACTCCAGTAGCCAGTCAGTCAATTGACATTATTGATCGAATGAAGGATCTATAAAATACTATCACTCACATAAAATTGAGGATTGATAGGCATTTTTCACATTAGTAGGCTATTGGTATTTTTTTTAAGCCTGGGATGTGTATTCTTCTGTGGGCTCTCTGCCCAGAACTCATCAGTCAGGGAAATGATGATCTGTGACAGCAATTATGTTAAAAAGGTGGACACATGTAAAGGTGCTGCAAACTGAAATCAATACACAAGGGCTTTCATTACAAAGAGACAACTAATCAATACTCAGGGAGCACTCCAGCTTACAAGAGTAAGTTTTACTCAACTTCATGTGAGTCTCGACAGCCAGTGGTCTGTTGCATTATTCAACGGCTACTGGTTAGTAAGGGCAAGGGTAAATAATTGATTATTTTCCAGTTGAATATACAGTGAGGCTAAGCAGGCTTTTGACTGTTCTCCACCCGTATTGTGTACAGTCTAGATCCTGCTTGTAACAGTGTGAGGAGCGACGATGTTAAATAACCGACTTACAGAAATAACAGACTTACAGTAACATGGAAACGTTAAGGAAATAGTAACCGAGTCCTCATGTGCATATTCAAATGTGGCGTCGCCTAAACAGCTAGTGCCGTCTTCCAAACACATTGATCTGCTTTAAAACATGGAAAGTGATTTATTTTTAAATTCAACTGTATTGTTGGTGACGGAGGAAATGGTGCACGGTGACGCACAAAACACGTCAGCTATTTGTGTCCTCTTTTTTTCAGCTTGAAGAGAAAACTTCGGCCAAACTTTCCCAACTGTGAATGGAAGTTATCCAAAGCTTAAAGTTACACCAAGAACTCATGTATCCCGAATACGTTAATGTATCAAGTTAATTTATCCCTCCTCTCGTGCGCAGTCTCCCTTGACAAAAAAACTTACCCGCCCGGTGCTGACTCCTTCTTACTCTCATCCACTCAAAAGTTTTACTGCTTACATCCATATGAGCCACGTTACAGTCCGAGCCAGCTGAACTCCCCATGGCGACGTGAATCTCGGGGCCATTACGAGAGTAGACTTGAATTTCCTCGGCAAGTGAGCCAAAACCGGATTGTAGCGTTTCGTTGTTATTTGACACGCAGTATCCGCGTCCTGGAGAGCCCTGCCCCTGCGCCCTGCACCGCCAGGGGACACGGGACGAGTGGGGGCAGGCCGGTGCCGAGAAGCCCTCGAGAGTCTGGCACGCTGGAGGAGGAGGGCTGTCCAAAAAGGTGCAACTGTTGGAGAGAGTTGAGTACCGGGGATGCGGAGTATTAATTCCTGAGGCGACTTTCACCTCGTTTCCCCTCCTCATGACGACTGCCTAGTTCAGGATGCGTACTGCCATCCAGGTCCCGGTTTATGACCTCTTTTGCTCGGCGGCAGCCCGTGAACAGAGGGCTACTCTCCCCTTCGGCCGTTAACTCTTGATAGGAAGTCATTATCACCTCTCCCCTGCATAATCATTGGACGGTGTTGCACTTCATGCCCGGCCTCTCATGCATCCAAGTAACGCATGGTCAGGCGGCCGGACGACCGTGGGGACATTCCTTAGAGGAGAAACAGCAATCCCTGATTGATGGAGATGACGTGCCCTCCTGGTCTCGGCCAATAGCTGGACATCTCTGTCATCAGAGAGGACAGCACTGATTAAACAGAGTTTCTTTCGGTCAACATTTTAATGGTGTCCGAGCACAAAGAGTTGCAACATGCAGGCCTTAGCAAAACCTACACACAACTTTAAAGCCAGCGAGGAAGTCTATCATCATCAGCAGACACTGAGGGCCGTCATGGGCCTCTCACCTATGCAGACAGGTGGGCTACGCTGTCATACGTTTTTCTATAATGCAGAGTTTTCTGACCCCAAGAGAAATATATTTTGGGTCAAACTCTGGTATTTTGATTATTTTTCACGACAACAATGAACACTTCTTTCCCCAAAGAATTAGCATAATATAGGCCTACATTGATGCAGCTAATGGATTATGCAAATTTGGGAAGGCTTCTTGAAAACCCCAGGCCCTCTTTAGCAAAGGGCTTAGGTCATGTGAAAGGCACACTTAATGGGTTCAGAGGTCGTGACAGCTGGTATTTAGAAGTTCAGTGGCAGCAGATTTGTAATTAGCCTCGAACAAATACAAAAAATGTCTCTGAGCGGAGATCAAGAAGTTGTAACTGACAGAGAGGACGTGTTTATCTTTAGGTTAAACTAGCTCCTCTGCTGGATTAGCTGGCCAAAAACAACAAGGCGTGTTCATTTATACAGTCCAAAAATCTGTTTTTTGAATATCTTTTCCCCCCACATGGGTGTGTTTACTCAGTCATGAATCATCATGTTAAACCTTTCATGCATGTGCAAATAGTGCTGCATGCTGCTATTCAAACTGGAATTACATAAACAAAAACCAACAAACCTAAAACACTCCCAAACTACATGTAGAGAAGAATAATACAACAAGTCCAGGACTTGCCTATGTACACTGACATGTACATTATGTACATTATGACTTAGAGAAGAATAATACAACAAGTCCAGGACTTGCCTATGTACACTGACATGTACATTATGTACATTATGACTATGTACACTTAAAACATGCAAATAGGCCTAATGCAGCTGGCATGTGTTTTGGTACAGGGACACAGCAGCCAGTGTTTTCACCTAGCCCTTAAGTGAAAATGTCAATGAGCTCCACAGTACAGCAGAGTTGTTTTTTCTTCTTGAAGACTGGTGACCTACTTTCAAATACTTCACTCGGTTTGTTGGCATATTGTAACGATGATTAATAAAGCTATAATATTATCCTAATTGTCCGATGTTAATTTAATCTCCAAACGTTTAATTATTTTTGCTTTAAATCGAAAGTGAAAAGATTATGTCTTATATTTTCAAAGAAATCCAACAATTGTGAAATTCCAAAGAAAGTTAGCCAGTTTTATTATCAGTCATGTTTCATGTGATTGGCTTAGTCGCTATACAAATCGTCACTCAAGCTGGAGCCCATGCTGTTGAAATTATTTTACTACTTTACATTATTTCTTATTTATAAATAATTTAAATTGTATATTTTTGCTCTCCCTGTATGCTTAGATCAATCAATGAAAACAAATATAGTATGTTAATTGAAAGCCATATCATGCAGGTTATTTTTTTATCATTATTATTAATATTGTTATATATTATCTTCCAGATGCTCAGATAACTGTACAAAACTACAACTCTTAACATTTAATAACAACCTAAACTTAAAACCACGACATATTACTGTTCTTTTCGTACTATTTCAACAATATGTAATATGTATTAAGTCTGCAGTAATTACAAAATAATTCAGCGTAATGAACAACTTCTAACTGCATTCTTACAACACAGAAATATGGTCCCAGCTGTTGGAGTTAATAGGATTCTACAGGCAGCGATGTGCTGAATGACTGAGTGCAATATATCCCTTCTCTCCATGCATTTGGAGGGTGCACTGATCCATCTTCATGTCAGCTCGGAGGTTACTCAGGGTTCACATGCTAGCTTGTTTCTCTCCTCCACACTCAATAAATAAATCTCTGCAGCTTTCTGTTTACCGCCTGAATATAAATTTGTTTGCAGTCGATCGAAGACCTGTGCAGAGGTATTAGAAATTGTATTTCTGTAATGGCTTTCAGCACAGGGAGGGGGAGGTGGAAAGGGGGTGCAGAGAAGAAGAAGAAGAAGACGACGAAGAAAAGCAGGTGTAATCCCTGCTTTCCCGTATGCAAACGATTTTTTAAACGCATGCCTCAGCCTTCGGACGTATTCAAATTACATTTAAAACCAAGTAACCTTTTTATCATGTAGGACAAGAGCATCAGTCCCTTGAAGTGCCATATGTTTGATTAGCATATTTGAAGTGTCGTTCCACATCACTGCCCAGCACCTTTTATCCAACAGAAGTTATATTATCACATTTAGCACAGACAAAAAAACAAGACATCTATAGCCGAGGTTTCTTCCTCTGGACAGCTTGTATCCCCTAAACCACAAACTCTGCATGAGAAATAAGAAAGAGTATAAAACCCCCAATTTAGATGAAATGGATACGATTCTGAAATTGATTTCCCTCAAACCAAAATCTGCACCCCATACACACAAACCAGAAATGTGAATATTTGGCCCCCAACCCTGTAAACATCCTCTTAAAACTCAGTGCAGGCATTTTCTATCATGATCACTGTTGTCTCTATTGTTTTGACTGGAGGTGAGCAGCACTTGGTGGCTGTGTCAGGAGGCAGGAGGAGGGAGACAATATTGACTGATGCTAATTTGTTTTGCGTCCATGCTCTGATGTGTGTCAATAGGCAGTTGAGGCCCTGGGATCAGCACAGCCGTGCTTGGATTACCTCCACGGTTTGAATTGAACCCTCATCCTGTCGCTGCTGACATGATGATACTGGCCGCCGTTGACACCAGACCCTTGTCTTGCCCTCCAACACTGTCAAGCCTAATTATATGTCAGCTCTTGACCCTGACAAGACTGGGAATTAACCAGTGCTGACAGACGACTGTCACCACCAGCCAGAGAGGTCACTGACTTTAATGCAGTTCCAAGAGGGTAAGATGACAGCCGTCTTTGCCATGTGTATGGAGCTTAGTGCTCATCAATGTGGCATCATGATAGAGCTGTAATATGGCAAAGAGAAATAGAGAGAGAGAGACAAAGGGTCAGAGCAAGGCTAAGGCACAAGAAGACAGATATTCAAGTTTGGCACATTGACCGGTTGAAAGATGGCTATCTGTATGATTGATAGAGCATGTCTGTGTTTTTCAAATATTGACATTTTTGAAAGATAGTGACGTCAGAAGTGAGGTTTAGCTTAGTGTATACCCGGCCCACACACAATCCAGGGAATACCTCTTGAAACAAAGAAATCCATCCACTCAGGGTGTGGAATTCAAATAATTGTCCTTGCTTCGTCGTTGAATGGTATGAAATCTGTCACAGCACATAAACCGTAATCATAAATCCAATGCAACTACAGTGCAAATGGCCAGGACATTACAGATAACTGCATTCTGCACAGGCTCAACAGTGTGACAATGAAGCAATACCTTGCTAATACCAGGGCTTTTCAACAATAGCCTGTAGTATGTACTGCAGTGCTTCACAGCTTCAGTGAGCCAAGAGGCTTGGAGTCGGCAGAATCCCAAATATCATGACAACAAGCCATCAGTCATCTCCCCCCCAAGCTGATGCGCACACTTGTGTGTTTCCGGAGTTCTTACTGTGGGAAATGAGCAGGGTTAAACATGAAACAGAAGGAAATGTTCATCATTGCAGCACACTCTGTAATATTCTGTTTTTCGCTGCAGGGAAAGAGAAGCAGTGGATTTTAATTTATTTATTTTTCTGCTTAAACATCCCCTGCTTGTTCACAATGCAGATCAGTAGTCTACTGTGCATGCTAATTATGGTTAACAGCAAAATGCGGATAGAAAAATGACACTGTATTAATAAAGCACTAATCTTTTGTTGAGGCAGGAAGGTTTATTCCTGCAGTCTTAAAAGGAAAAATGTCAATCATGTAAAAGTTTGAAAGTTGAAGCGTAGATGAATAAGGCGTTGGATATTTACAATATCCAAATATTAGTTTGTGTTTTATTCCACATTAAGTAGCTTTAAGGTTGTTAAAATCATCTTATTTCACACTGTCTGACAGAATCATGTATTCTGTCTCAGCTTGACTGAAGCTATATTATGTTTACACTGAGTGAAATATTCAAACCCAGGACTCCATGAATGTTACGGCTGCACATTCCATTAATACTGGAAAGGGGAATAATCTGGAGGTCTTGTGCATCATTTTATACACATTTCCACAAAAATTCATTAATACATATTTTGTATCTATGAATTTTGGTCCTCACTAGTAGAATTTAAAATAAAGTTATCTGGGTCATTACATTACATTACAGTCATTTAGCAGACGCTTTTATCCAAAGCGACTTACAATTCAGATTCTATCACATTTCTACACCGTAGGCACAGCTACGGGCTCAGAACAACGTTTGGCTGCACAAGGACTGGACCACTGTTGACTGACATGAATATAACATTTTGTATTAACATTTCAGAAATGTCTAGTTTAACAATTGAGGTTCAACAAGGATTTTTCATGCAGTCAATGAAATACAAATATTGTCACAAATGTCCCAGATGTTACCCTTGTGTTTTGTTGACATTGACTTTACTTCCTCATTGTGCAGACTCCCACTGACCCAACTGCTGTATGTGTAAAAACAACAATATTTGCAAAGAAAATTGTTTTCTTTAATAGCTTTTTTCT